GGGGAGAGAGAAATATTCTGCTGTCTCTTTTGAACAGGAAGTGCCTCTGTAAAGCTACTGAAAGCAAGCGCCGGAAAATCGCGGCCTCTCGGCTTGCCTCCCCACCGCCCGGGCAGGAAGGGTACAGCCTGTCCGCAAACCCTGGTGGTGTCACCTCTCGGAGCAACAATCTCGCCTCCGCAGGTTGCCTGCACCGCCCACGCTTTTCCTGCCTCCCTGCAGGAATCTAGCCAGGAAATTCAATTAAAATCCAAACAATCTCTCTCTCAGATGGACTCATTCCTTATATACAGGAAATTTTCCCTTTTCTGTCTCTAAAGGAGGCACAAATCTGTGTTCTACTGTGCGCCACATGGACCGAGCACGGCCCTCCCCAAAGCCAAGAGTAAAGGAAGGGGGGGGCACCGTGAACCAGTGTTGCCTCTTTTGCTGAGCTGTTCCCGCACAAGCACGAATCGAGGGGGGGGACGGGACTGTACAAGGCACCAATCTCTGGGGGAGTCGCCGTGGACGGATCCGAAGGCCGCTTCACACAATTTGTGAGAACCACTCAAACCCTGGGAGATCTCCAACTTCTAGTGATTTTTTTTGGCTATTCCTGTTAACCAGCAACTGCTGTTGCATTCATACATTACAGTGGACCCTCGACTTACAGACGGCTCGACTTACAGACTTTTCGAGTTACAGACTTCTCTGGCCACAAAATTTAGATTCGACTTGCAGCCGGAGAATCGACTTACAGACCAGAAAAAAACCAAAATGGAACAAAAATAGAATAAAAACCGCTGGTTATGGGATTAATCGGTTTTCAATGCATTGTAGGTCAATGGAGATTCGACCTACAGACTTTTCGACTTGCAGCCACTGTTCCAATACGGATTAATTCCGTAAGTAGAGGGTCCACTGTATTTCATTAATAATGATAATACCAACATGCCGTCAATTCTGATTTACGACAATGCTTTTCGGTGTCTTTGAGCATATTCAGAGGCAGTTCACCTTTCCCTTCTTCTGGGGAGGGTGTGTGTGCGCGCGTGCCCTGGGACTGTACAGCTTGCCCAAGGCTGCACAGGCTGGCTCTTCTCCCGAGAGGCAATCCTCGTGGGGGAATCGAACTCCCAACCCGCTGGCTCCGCAGCCAGAGACCTCATCCAGCCAGCCCATTATTTCACTTTACATCCCATCTTTTCGCTAATGAGCTCTGAGTGGCGACACGTGCCTCGCTTCCTCTCTACTTTCTCCTCCCCTGCAACATTGTGAGGTCGGTTAGGTTGGGAGACTGTGGCTGGCCACGGTCAAGTGCGGATTTGAACCCAGGTCTCATTTGTAATCCAGCACTAAACACTGTGCAACACGGGTTCACATTTTAAAAGTAACACTTTTGAAATGTTTTGCACTTAAAATAATGGGCCACTTGCTTTGTACTCAACTTCCCTACAGAATTTACCAAACTTAAATTCCAGTGAAATCAACGGAGAAAATTCTTCACGTCTTACGATCTCGCTGATTTTCAGGAAGCATAGTCTGAAATGAAACTGGTTTAGCGAGAGGCTAGCAAACTGGGAACCTGTGGCGTTGCCCTAACCAGAGAGGTTTCAAGTAGAAGGCATAGTTACTGGAGTCAGACGTTTCAAGAAGCTACGAATTCCAACACAGGAGTGCAGGAAAGCTGGCAGTAGCTACTCTGGAGTCATGCAGGCCCTCTGTGTATGTTCAGAGGTACTCTGTAGCGGTCACACACCCTGCTCAGAGAAGGCCTTACAGAACCTGATCAAAGGATGCACACAAGTGACACACAGGTCCCTATCCGAAGCATCAGGAAGCTGCTGCCCAGCTGCGAATTTGCTCATTTAAGCAACTGATCATTTGCTATCTCCTGCCATCATTTTATGGGACAAGCCATCTTCCGGCATGCAAAACAGGTACGGTGCCGAGCGACATGGTCTCTCTCCCGAAGAGACATCTCAACTGCAGGATGTGGTGTTACTTTTCTTCCCGACTCCTGCCAAGCAAGTTTTTAAAAAGAAACTCAGAAAAAAAGGGGTTTTCTTTCCTCTTGGCTTCCTCAGTGGCTACCCTCCCCGGAGGACCCTGGCCTGGGGACACGCAGGAAACTTCATTGTTTCTGAAGGCTGCAATTTAAAGAAACACAGGATGCCAAAAGTCTTAGAAAACAATAGCGGACACCCACAAGAATAAAAGCCAGAACAATGCCTTGGTTGCCCCTTTTAGGTTCTTGAGAGGGGGGTTGTGGAGCAAATCTTACAAGGAGATATGGGGGGACGG